TTATTCTCTTCACTCCAATCGGTCCAATCCTGTCCGTACCATATCTGCAGCTCCTGATTGCGTGACACAGACACCTGAATGGGAAGATCGCGGAAAATCAGCTCTGGAGATGTGTGGGTAGTTCCATTAAGACTGTAAAAGTGGTTTTTGTTTTCAACGCCAGCTTTTAAGTCTCCAGCTGGTGGCAGGATGGCTTCTTTCTTTGCACTGGTAATGATAGTCATTAAGCTGTTTTTGCTATAGTAGGGGCTTGTACTGCAGCCCCAGTAGGATGGAGGGAAATTTCGGTTACATATGATCGAGCCCGACTTGTGGACGAGCTTCACTGTCTTGAGAAGTCCACTCTTTGTGATGTTAAAGGCGCCGAACTGGTTATCTCGCGCCCCAAAGCAAACGGACTCTTTGTTTATTTTCTGCCAGTTTCCTAAAAAAAAAATTATTAAAAAATATACAATACTAATGGTAAAAAAAGTATTTAACATGGAAAGTGATTAGAATCGACCAAATTATACATCAAGGCAATCAGAGGCGCTCTAACTAGGCAAAACAAGAGCTCAGTAAAGAGTAAGTACTGCTGGATCGTTCAATTAGAGGTTTTCCAACAGACACGTTCATGGTCATCAGGAGTTTGTTTTGCGTCGTACATCTGGATCCTATTCCAAACCCTTTTAGCTCATTTAACCCAGTTATGCCACTGGAGAACAAAGATACTGCTTGCCCCTAGATTGTTTGGTTGATCGACTACGCACTTCTTATTTCAGAGCAACGAGAGAGTTCAATCAATCACAGCACGAGTTTGAGCAATAAGGGCCTGAGTCTGCTCGTAATCTCACCAATCATGGTTGAGCATTGTGAATACCCGGTTGGAACAAACAAAAAATACATTTGAATTTTGCTGACTTAAAAAGCACACAAACAATACTACAATTAAACATATTAATTTGAACTCAGCGCAGACACTCTGCATTGATAGGTTTTTAAACACATTCTTACATTCTTGCCACTAGTTTTAGAGTTAGGTCATGCACACTTTGTTTGAAAACATTGTAGTCGCTAGACCGCTGATGTCTCAACTGAACCGAGCTGGCTAGCCTGCGAGCAGGCTCACGTTGGAGTACAAGCGCGCGCGGGGTAGCCGCGAGGCGAGAAAGTGAGCCTGCTCTGATCTCTGCAAATTTTTAAATCCATCCCGGAAACCGCAGAAAAGAATACGTCAATTAATTTTCACCGGAAGTATGACCTTTGGCAGCTCAGATTTCTCGGGAAAATTGTAAATTTTTTTCAAAGCAACGGATGGCCGCGATATCCGTTGTTGATAAAGTTTTGCCGAAGAAAAACTGTCAAAGTTTATGTCTACTAAGGAAACACACTTGACTCCAAATGATCTTGCTTTGGCAATCTGATCTTTGACGATGCTGGTAAACGGGCAAACGCCTTCGTGTTGTTTCGTTGTCCGATTGCAATCACATGCGTTTGTAATATTTAACTCTTCCCATATGCAGTCGGCAACAGGACAAGTACGTCTTGATTCATTAACATACTTTCAACTGCTATATCCTGCTCCCTCTTTAGTTTGAAATTTAACCAGAAATACTGACTCCAAATGTGGAAGACTTGTTTTTTATTGTGCGGTAAATTAGCGACTCCATGGGGATTTAATCGCTCCTGATCAAACATAACAAATTGACAGTTTTCTCGCCTTTCCCGCTTTTCGACCAATGGTATTTCACTTCGCTCAGACGAAGCAGAAATGAAAAACTTACAGAGATCAGGACAGGCTCACTTTCTCGGCGCCTCTTCACCAGACTCCATCGGTTCGCTTTGCTCTTCGCCGCTCGCGCGTGTGACTCAAAGGTGAGCCTGCTCGCAGGCTACGAGCTGGCGGATTGACATTTTGTTGCTCGGTTCGAATTTGGTTTTGTCGCTGGACCGAATTGTGGAGGCGCTGTGGCCTCATGACTAGTGCGCTCGTCTCTGGATCGAGTGGTCCGTGTTCGAGCCCTGGCCGAGGACCTTGTACTGCATTCTTGGACGAGACACTTAACTCTCAGCGTGCCTCTCTCTACCCAGGTGTACTAATGAGTACCGGCGAATTAAAGCTACAATCTGTACCTTCACAGCGAGCCAGGATTGTCTGAGCATTCCCATCAGAATATATCCAGTAATCCCCTTAAACTATCTCATTTCCTTCACTGGCCTTGATCTCACTGCACGATTCAGCAGGAAGCTCTTGAATGGAGCCAAGAGGAACTGTGTGATACAACAAAAGATCTATCAGGAGTAATTTTATTTCAAATGTTTACAAGAAGAGCTTAAGGTGGCTCGAAACAATTTCCAGCACTTAGATTTTGATGGGTCGTTATAACCAATCTTTATCACTTGATGCTACAATCATGGTATCAAAAAACTGCCCTATCTTTAGTGAACACGTTGTTGTCATTTTCGTGACAAAATAGATTACCATAGCAACTTATAATTAAAAAACGGCATGGTGAAATTTTTTTATATTGTCAAATTTTAATAAGCATGATAAGACGCAACTTTTGGCAAAGTTTGAAAAAAATATTTACATAGGGATCAGAGCCACCTGAAAATTAAAAAAATCAAATATTAGAATTATCTGAATTTTGGGCAGAGAGCTTCGGAATCATGTTAGAATTTTGATTTATCACGAAAATGGAGTATTGTCTCGTGTAATATTTGTTACTTCCGACGAAGAAATGGGTGCGAGGCTGCTTTTCATGATCACATATGACGTATTGGTAACCGTTAGTTGGATACGAGAAATTTTACCTCAAGTAATCAGTGTTACCAGTTTAATAAAAGATTGTTTTAACCTCGCTCCGTCATATCAACGTAGCGGCTAACAACTTTATAAGAAGAAAACTTTATCTTCTTTGTCTAACTCAGATGAAGTTCCTAACCATAATGCTGCTACGACTGATGATAAACGACTGCTCGCGATTGCAAAAGTTTCCTTATATTTGTGCTTCCAGCTTAGAATAATGTACGTAAAAAGTAAACATTTCCAAATTAGCTTTTACGCTTAAACATTACCCGTGAAAATATTTAGCACGAAATTAGAAGGCTTTTGTAAATATTTTTGTGAGTCTATGGAAACAGGCGCCCACGCACGTATCAACAAATCGTATTTTACACAGCGGACCTCTTCACTGACTTCATTGGAATGGATTTTAACACTATAATATATCTGCATGTAAAACCTCGGTTGCTGATGAAAAATGTTGATTTAACAAATTGACGTCAGTTTTTTATGCGATAAATTGCGTCATAACATTGTCAAAGTGGCTGTGGAACCACGAGCCTGCGGCTCGTGGTTCCGCAGTAAACTTTGACAATGTAATGACGAAATTTATCATCAATAAGAGGACTGACGCATAAAAAACTGACGTCAATTTGTTTTTTACAATAACAAGACCCCAAAATGGCCGCTCTAAACGCCGTAAATTTGCCGTAAACAAAGCGATAAGTGAATGTTATTCAAAATGACGCGAGCATTGTCAATAGCTTTTCTCCCTTTTTGATTGGTTACTTGAAAAAGTCCATAAAATGTCATTGGTTAAAAAGTTAACAGTTTGACAGCTGGAAGTTGAACTTGAAAGCTTGCATAAATTAAAATTTTATCCGTCTGTACTCTTATTGATGGTAAAAATGAGCCAATCAGCGCGCAAGAAATTAGACAGTTTTGTAAAATTTAGCAATAGACAGAGGTTAAAAGTCAGCTACTGAAATCATAAGGTATATATATTAAAGAGACGGGGTCGAACGCACTCATATTTTTTAATTACTACGAGTATAACAATTTGTTGAATTGCCTAAGCCACGAAAAAAACATTTCAGCTTGACTGCTTCCCATCATTCCTCGCGGCTTCCCCGCTCCCATTGGAGAGTCCGCGCTGCTGAAACAAAGCCAGCTACACATGCTAAGCAATAGCATTTAACGCGACTGAGTTGTAAAAGGGTAAAAAAAGAAATAAGGAGAATCGAAGTATACCTCTGTTTTTTGCTCTTTTCATGTAGAACCTTGTCTGATCTAGCTTGAAATCTTCAGGTCTCGCCTCCTTGGTTCGATTGTTCAATTCACAGAGGTTTTAACCAATGACGAAATTGTAGCTTTGACATGTAACTTCTGCTTCGCACATGAAATAACAACCTGCAGGCCATCCAACCTTGCTAGTTTTAAAGGTATGGCCCTTGAGGAACATTCCTCCAATTGTGTATTCCGCTGTTTGGCATTGGAGAGCAGCTTGAAATACACCAATCCAGGACATCAGGAACGCAACTGAGAGCCAGAACTTGGTATTCATATTGAATTGAATGCCTCAGTGACTTTGCTACAAGCGAAATAGAAACGTTCAAAATGACATGTTAGTGATCTTAATTAGTTGCCATGGAGAATCCATGTTCTTGTTAGCATCTAAAAGACTGCAGCTCTGAACCATCGCTCTCCTTTGTCGGGAACGAAATTAATGACATGATTAATTTAGACAGAATGGATTGAATCTATTTTTCTTAGCTTGATCCCGTTTAATAGCACGCATCACATTCACTACTGTAACGAGAAGGTCCCAATTCGCTACTTGTATGTGCTCAAGGGAACGTTTGAAGATTGCAAAAATCGATAAAAAATTATGTGTCATTTTGTACCTTATTTTTGCGGAGGTGCTTCAAACAGCCTGATGCCAGAGGTTCTCTGTGGTACTTTCTTCTTCCGTCTTTGCTGCTAGCTACTAAAATATCAGTGACATTGAATGAAGCGAACTTCGTTCTCTTGTACGTAATCCACTCAATTATAACATTGTTTTACAAACACAATTTGCAAGCGCGTCAAGGGTGGTGATGACGTCTTCGTTAACACATCACTTTAAAATTCTCAACAAAATCTGTTGTCATTCTTTAAACATGTGTTGTAAATATTTCATTTTTCCAGCCAAGTGTATTACATCTGACACGTTCTAGAAGTGAAGGCAGCTTTGTTGTTGACAGATACTCAAGGCCATAAAACTATTTAAGCGATGCTTTCATGTTCGATCAATAATCGAACAAGTTCGTAATTGATTGATGCCCGGTGAATGAAAAATATAAAGAAAAGATGAAACAGGAAGAACAGTGAAGGCAGAGTAAGTATTTCTAACTATATTGGCAAAGGGGAACTCACGTAAATGTCATCCATTTAACATCAAAGTAAATATCAATTTGAACCGAAAAGAATATTGGGCAACAAAGGAAAGCTAATAGAATGGTTCCTCGCATCCGGCAGGTTCTAGTATACCTTCTTAGAACTCTATGTTGATATTTCTTTCAGACTGAAAAGTAGAAGAACTCGGGTACCCACTTTTTTAGATTCCCGTGTGCTCTACGCTCTGGACCCTTTAATGCGGCCACCTGCTGATGTTAACAAGTTTCTTTGTCTCAACGAAAAGCTCAAGTTTTCTTTTTCTGATATTTTTCAACTCAACTTGTTCTCGATCATTCTTGATATTAAGAAACCCTAACTCAATAAACTTCTATTATTACAGACGAAGATGCATTAAACTATCCCGACATCCTAAGACAAAAGTTACATGTTGCTTTAGCCGGATCTGTTAATCCATTAATTTAGGGTGTTGGTAAACTCGATTGATATCGCGAGAAATATTTCATATCATTATTCGCCCAAGAAATCTCTGACATAAATAAAGATAACCGTTCTTCCTCTTCCCTTGTCTTCTTCCTCACCAAAGTTTACTCATCTCTAATCAGTTTTTGGTAGTGACATATTTTTCCTGAAAAAACGCGGGCAAACTTATTCTAAGAAATAGGACCGTACCACAACTTATGGCCGACATACGAATTTCAAAATTAATCTAACATTTCTCACCAATTTCCGAAGCAGAAATGAAAAGGTTTTCGCCGACGTTTTATCCAAGATTTTCACTGTTTTGAATCCTTATTTTCTGACAAACGAGACACGAAATGTATTGCTCAGTTTTCCTGCATCATTTTTATTAGGATTCTTCTCACGTTTTGTGTTTTCGTCAATTAATCAATTGACGCAAATCTGAAACTGAAAGGATCTCAAATTTTGCGTGGTCTGCTATCCACCAATAACAAACAATTATTTCATCAGCCGAAACTGAAAGCTGAAGCTGATATCACTTACCAAGACCTTGGTTATTCTAGTCAAGTATAAACAAATTAGTTTATTCCCGAGGCAGAAGAAACCCAAAGTTGCGCGTTGCTGGCACAACAAAGTGATTCAAGTATCAGTGTCAGAGAAAACCGGGCAAAACCAAAAGATCCACGTCACATTCAGCATAAAAGCTATTCGAAAGAATTACAAGCCATGGCATTTACCGAGGTAGGCCTTCGTTTTTCTTCGAGATATCACCGCATCACAATGTTCGCCTCACATGCGGTCCAAAACACAGTTATCCCAAGCTCGCAAACTGAGCGTCCGTACAATGCAGTAATACTGAAGTCTCAAAACAGTTGAAATATAATAATTTGTATGGCCAGGAAAAACGGTCCTATTCTTAAGTCTTAGAGACAGGAAGGAGTATAAATAAAATATACGTACCGTGCTTGAGGCATGTTTCCTTGTTTGGCGTGGAAGGTTTGTAAATAATAAATAAATAAATAAATAAATAAATAATAATTTTTATTACAGGAAGCTCTCTCACCTACCGGTTATGGGTCAATTTATGGACGTTTAGATGGTTTCAGTCAGCTTCACTATTTTGTCCTCTGGATATCCTTTCCAAAGTTTGGGTACTGAGTGATCCCAGCCTAACGAGTCCACTGAAGGGAAAGGTCTCCAAATGCTCTAATCGCCTCGAAATTCCACANCGCAAACTGAGCGTCCGTACAATGCAGTAATACTGAAGTCTCAAAACAGTTGAAATATAATAATTTGTATGGCCAGGAAAAACGGTCCTATTCTTAAGTCTTAGAGACAGGAAGGAGTATAAATAAAATATACGTACCGTGCTTGAGGCATGTTTCCTTGTTTGGCGTGGAAGGTTTGTAAATAATAAATAAATAAATAAATAAATAAATAATAATTTTTATTACAGGAAGCTCTCTCACCTACCGGTTATGGGTCAATTTATGGACGTTTAGATGGTTTCAGTCAGCTTCACTATTTTGTCCTCTGGATATCCTTTCCAAAGTTTGGGTACTGAGTGATCCCAGCCTAACGAGTCCACTGAAGGGAAAGGTCTCCAAATGCTCTAATCGCCTCGAAATTCCACATACATCACGGAAGATAGTCTTCCTTCACGTTCCTATTCTTCATCCGTTCATCCGCGGTCGGTTTAGTTACACTGACATGGAATAGAAAGCTGCCATCTTCGGGAAAGGCTTTTCACTGAGAGCCGTCCGATGTGAAGCCTTAACTGTCAATCATCTCCCACCTTCCGCCTAATCCTTAGACAGGGTATAATTTATATTAACTAAAATTCCAGTGCGTAAATTTCCAGCGAAACGAAAAACAAATTATCTGCTTGATACTTAACTTCCAATGTTACCAAAACAAAATAAAGTTGACCTGTTCAGGCCATTCTTAGTTTTTGTTTTTTTGTTTGAACAGGGTGCCATGTTTTGGGTTTGCATTTCCTCTTGGTTTGGGCCTTAAATAGGGTATCAATTTTCAATTGGATCGTCTTCAAATAGGGTCGGGGTTTAGTCAACCTCGTTCTTAGGGCTTTGGGTTGAGGTTCAGTAAAACTTTTCGCGGCACCTACTCCAAATATACGGAAGTACCCTCCTCCCTCGCCCATTGTTATTGCGTTGTTGTATAGTAACGGCTGCTTGTCAATCGCATCAGCTAAACACGTAGTGAAATTTCCAAATAAAGAAAACACTCAATGAAAAGTGATGTTACAGCGCGGTGAACTCACGCCTTCATGTTTTTTCCAAGAAAGTTCTAGAAAGGTTGGTCTTTCAATATAGATTATGCTTTTGCCACGTCAATACAGAGCTAAATCACAACTTGTAACTAGTTTTACTAACGAACCTAAAATATTGACTACAGGTACTTTCTTAAACATTACATCAACAACGGTTCAATCGCTAAACGGCCGATATTTAATCAGTAAATTTAAATCCTTGTCTAGCACTCGCCAGCTCTTCAGCCAGGAGGCGGGTTACCAGTCAAGATTTGCACATGGTGAAGGAGACCAGTATTAGAGCCTGAACGAAGTCAGTGCTCTGGAAAAACTATGGTACATGCATTACAGGATAGCAGACCTGTCCACGAAAATGAACTTCAACCTGGAGACAAGGCATCTTGTAACATCTGTGGAGGTAGCGTGGCCGAGTGGTTAGGGCGCCGGACTTGAAATCCGGAGGTCGCGGGCTCAAGTCTCGCTCTGACCACTATTAAAGCTGGAGTTGCTTTCCGACAGACCCTAGTTCAACTCCTCTGTTATGCTTGTAAATAGCCAAATGGAGTGCCTCCCACCTGTTGGGATTTTTAAGCCTGTTATGGTTAAGCTAAAATGCATAAGATCATTTACCGGCCCAAATGTTGCTCGTTAGAGACTTAAGTCAGTTGAACAGATTTATGGATAAAAAAGAAAGTTTTGGAAAAAAATGTGCTTTTCCTTAAGTGGCATGCCTGAGAACTGTAGGTAGTTGTAGCTAAGCGCATCGAGCACTACAAACATTCAACATCTTTTTTTAATATTTTTAACAGCAAGAATAGTAAATTTTGATACAAAGAATGCAAATGTATAAACTAATTAACATACATTCCGATAACTATTGCTATTTATACTTAATGTTTGATACATGTACTGTAGTTTGGAATGAGAATGCTGTTGAAGAAAGAGTAGAGCTTCAAAAACTATTCGTGACAGCCTAGATGTGTAATTACTACATTAGCCCTTACAGCCAGGTAAAAAAAGTATAGTTCATACAATGCTTCGTCGTCTTGGTAATTGCTCGACGCTACTTTCATATTTCTACAATTCTTAGCATTCCATTCCGTGAATGTCTTCCTGCATTTATGCGCTAAGTTACAAGGTTCAATACAAGAGAAGATAAATATGAGCAGCGTTTACGTTAATTTTTCAGTGGCTATAAGCACTTACTGCTTCGGATAAGTCAGATACTCATGTTAAAGCGTACCACGCATACACATCAACACACGTTGCGCCATCGTTGTTATCTTCACTACAATCCCTCCAATCCTGTCCGTACCATATCTGCAACTCCTGATTGCGTGACACAGGCAGCTTGTTAGGAAGGTCCGGGAAAATGAGCTCAGGAGATGTGTGGGTAGTTCCATTAAGACTGTAAAAATGTGTTTTGTTGTTACACCCGTGTAATTTCAGGTCTCCAGCAGGTGGCAGGATGGCTTCTTTCTTTGCATTGGTAATGATAGTCTGTAAGCTGTTCTTGCCATACCATGGTACATTTGAGCAGCCCCAGAAGGATTCCGGGTATCTCGGGTTGCATCTGACCGAGCCCGACTTGCGGATGAGCTTCATCGTCTTGAGAAGTCCACTCTTCGTGATGTTAAAGGCGCCGTACTGGTCATTTAGCGCCCCAAAGCAAACGAGTTCTGTGTTTAATTTCTGCCAGTTCTCTAAAATGAATTTTCAGAGAAAAATATTTGCATCCATGTCTTACGTTGCGATCCTGTGGCACACTTTTAACATTAAGGCTCAGGGGCCAATCAGATCAATGTTATAAATCTTTTTTAAAGTCATCTGCTAACATGACACAATTTGAATTTTTTTTTTTTCATTAGCATCAAGTCCCAGGTATATTGAGGGAAATTTTCAGAGGTAAAACCAGTTTCTTTAAACACAAAGGTTAAGGTCGTTACCGATCGCTCCCACAGGCGGACAAAAATTCAATATTTCTGCCAATCAGCACTCACCTCTGGATTGTTTTGGACGCTTTAATTTATACTTGTGCCGTTGAAAACAAAAAGGCTGTTTGCCCTCAAAATTTATTGGTTGATCGATCAATAGACTGAGCTACTCCGGTCTCTTGCAAATTTAAATTTTTTGGAGGTGCTAAAAGGTTAATTAAACTTCTTTATCAATAAACTAAAAGGCCGTACCTTCACAGCGAGCCAGGATTTTCTGATCATTCTCGTCAGAGTATATCCAGTAATCCCCGTGAACCATCTCATTTCCTTCACTGGCCTTGATCTCACTGCATGATTCAGCAGGAAGCTCTTGAATGGAACCAAGCGGGACTGTGAGATAAAATGAAAAGATAAAGTAACTTTGAGATAAAGTAATTTTGCTTCAAGTAATTTTATAAACAAGAAGAGCTAATAACAGATAAACCTTATTCGTAACCCTCTTATGTACGTTAGACGATGTTGGAAAGTATTCTTTTTATTGGTTGAGTTAATTTCAGGCAAACGCTTACGTGTTTTTTGGGATTTTACATGCTAGTGCTTTGTTCCGGATTGATGCTACAAATGGTTGATAGGCCAAACACGACTCCTACTGAAAAGAAGAAACTTTGACCTCTAAAGCTTTGCTTTAAAGAAGGACGTTTTTCAAAGATCTCCCTTTTCTGTATAAAAGCAGGGAAGGGTCTTTAGAGAACTCTCTTAGCAAGGGCTGATTTTCTTTTAAATGCCATTTACTCATAAGAATATTTTCTTAAGATTAGGCAAAGATGGGCGATATTCTGTCACAAACAGCAAAATTCTTTTGGGTCTTCTTTGTTTATTTTGCAGTGGGCAACCTCTGTTGCGTAATCCGCGTTTGAATTGTGTAATGTTTCTTCAAATGTAGCTTTTGAGAAGAGTTGGTTCTCAGAAGTCGTAAGTCTTCGCCTTTGAAAAATCCCATGATCCGGACGCCTGGAGGGTGCCAGGAGATGAAGTGCGTGTCTTGGAGAGTTTTTGTCGGTTTTAAGTGCACTCGCACGTCGAGAATAGACTCTTTCTCAAATCTTTCCCCCCTGTATACTGTAAGCATCTATCCAACAAAATTATTTCTTTATCTGAAATTTCAGCGGTGAATTTTACGGTCGCTGGTATGCATAATAGTTATTCACCAGCTTTATAAACGTGTTTACTTCCTTTTTGTTTTTGATCCATAGAGAAATGACATCATCGAAATATCTTTTTTCGGTGAGATTTTCTGGTTATTATATTTGTCCTTCAGTTTTGAGCTTGACTAAGCTTAAACCACACAAAACGTGAGCAATAAAAAACATTTTTAGACAAGCAAAATTAATAGTTCGATTAACTTTTAATCCTGGGTTAGCGTTAACCGGCTTTCGAACAACCTTGCCCGGGGATTTATATGGCTGTGGTTAATGATTTCTGTTTCTACCGCGGCCGTGAAAATGTTGACCAAGGAGACCGCCATTTCTGTAGTCATTGCCGTATCATGAGTTGCCGTTAAAAATGAAAAGAGTTTTCTTTTAAGAGAAGCTTTAGCACCTCGCTGAGGTAGAGGTTAGGTATGGGAGGTTTGTTTGGGTGGAATGTTTCGTATGTTTTACATACAGTCGTGATTCCTTCCTCCGGCCTGTGGGATGTTAGCATATAGTTTTGCAACGTCCATTGCGCCGAAGCCATGTACGGAGACATCCCACCTTTTCTCCTGGTGGTTTCGCCGCTCCGGTAGGAGAATCCGCAGCCGCGCTCAAAATTAAGCTCGCCACGGACGCTAGCATTGAAAATAGCTGTACTGATTGGAAAAATGAGACGAACATGCAAGAAAGGAAAGTGGAAGTGTACCTCTGTTTTTTGCCCTTTTCATGTAGAACCTTGTCTGATCCGGCCTAAAATCTTCAGGTCTCGCTTCCTTGGTTCGATTGTTCAGTTCGCAGACTTTATGACCAATGACGAAATTGTAGCTTTGACACGTGACCTCTTCTTCGCACATCAAATAGCACCCTCCAGGCCATCCAACCTTGCTTGTTTTAAAGGTGTGGCCCTTGAGGAACATTCCTCCAATTGAGTATTCCGCTGTTTGGCATTGGACAGCAGCTTGAAATACACCGATCCGGGACATCAGGAACGCAACTGAGAGCCAAAACTTGGGATTCATATTGAATTGAATGCGTCAGTGCCTGTGCTACATGTGAAATAAAAAAGTTCAAAATGACCTGTAATTGATACTAAATAACACCAGTACTGAGATTCAGTTTTGTTGTAAGCGTCTGTTTAATTTTATCACTAAAAAGATCGAGGTTCCCAACCATTGCTGTCCTCGTTTCTGCACGGCAGAAATTAGTAACCTCCTTAATTTAGACGGTAAAAGTAGCGAAGGTTGTCACATCCTTTTGGGAATCTTTATTTCTTAGCTTGATCCTCTTGAGTAGCACAGAGGGACTTATCTGAAGTAACGACAAGACTCTCACATAAAGTTTGTAAACCGGTGGGAGATTCTAAAAATCGACAGAAAATTAGTTGTCATTTTGTAACTTAATTTTCGAGGCAGTGCAAACGTAGATTTCTTTCTAATATCGCATTTCTTATGATAACTGGTCAGCTTTAGGGCCCAATTGAAATACAATAAACAGTCAAGTGTATCTAATATATCTTAGACCTCATTTATATGGTCTCGGGTACCTGAGACAAGCCTTCCCCCGAGTTACCCTGGCCGAGGTAACTTTTAGCTTGTTTCTTTGCAAAATTCAACCAACCGTTTACATTAGGATCGTGAACCCGTCTCGGGGGACGAGACAACTCGGGTGGGCGAGTTGTCTCGCCTCGGCAGGTAAGGTAACCCCGGCAAGCGAGACAACTTTTCTTCATATCAACGCTTTGGCTCGCCTAACCGGGACATCGCTCGGCGTGGCGAGTGACACGTATTGCCTAGATTTAGGATTTAAAGCAGAAATTCATATCAAAGAAGTGAAAATTAACTCAGCAAAACCCACTGTGATCGAATGATCGAGAGAAACTCCAAAAAAGAGGGATATTTGCACATTTGATTATTCAATAAGGGTTATGAATAATCACGCAGGGTCAACTTTGACTCGGCCTACAGGGAGTACGTTTTCACATATAAACGCTCGCTAAAGTTGCCTTGGGGCTAGGGTTGTCTCGGTTACCCGAGACCATATAACTGGGGCCTTACAAGTAGTTTCTTTGTAACAGTAAGTTAGGACCATGAAAAGATATGACCAGCATGAATGCGTTTCTTTAAGAAAATCCAACATTGGATTCTTAAATACGAAAACGGATTTTGCGTTCTTTACTAAACAGATCAATCCAAGATCACTCGGATCATGGTGCATCGAAAGAACCGAAGAATCCTTGCCCAGAGTGGAATCTTCGGTTCCTTTGACGCACCATGATCCGAGTGATCTTGGATTAATCTGTTTAGAAAAGAAACGCAAAATCCGTTTTCGGATTTAAGAATCCA